TCCCTCATCTGTGAAATGGGCGTCCTAGTGGTGCCTCCTGCGGGTCAGATGAAAGGCTGTAGATTAAGTGCTCAGCATGGTGCTAATCTTTCCCTGATTAGAGAATGCAGGTGGCATTCCTGCAGGTGGGGACAGGGAAGAGCACTTCCCTTACTGCCCTGCCCACTCTGCCACCGGCGGGGCCTCTGGTCAGGACTCCTGTGCACAGGTGGGTGGTGGGACCTGTGGAGGCCCTGGTTTCTCTTGTCCTGCAGCCTAGCCCTCTGACTGGCGGCCGCGGATCCAGCTGTGGGACAGACGTGTGTGCCCCAGGGCTGCTGACCCTTCTGCTTAGAGGAGACCTGGGGGAGTTCATCCAGGCCTGAGGCCATCGTACTTGCACAGTGGAAGTGGGGCACGTACAGTGGAAGTGGGGCGCAAGGGCCTTCCGCAGAGAGAGGTGTTAATAGACCAGCGTGAGCATCTCCGGGACCACGAGTGGCGATTCTTGCTTTCACCTCAGACAACTGCTTGGAGGCTTGATTCTGGGAGGAGAAGACAGTTTTACTGCCGGAATCCACCTTTACTATGTGCATTTGTTTAAAAGTCAATCTAGGGGTGAAGTTCTCCTTTTATCATACCTGCTGCTCTGCCTGGTGGTCCTTTTCTACAAAAAGCAGTTGAAGAGGCATGTGTCAGCAGGAGCGTATTTGAGACACTTACTAAGGAAAAGAGCCGAAGGGTCTAACCTGAGAGGCACGTGCAGGGTCCTCCCGGTGTCCACGGGCCGCTTTGCCCTCGGCTGCAGACAGAACAAGCGCCAGGCTTACCCTGGACAGCGCCGAAGGCCACTGCTCCGGACCCTGTCGTACTGCATGTCACCTTTCCGGACAAAACCAAAGCTTTGTGGGCACTGTTGCCGGTGGAGGTGGGGTCCCTGCAGTGTCATGAGGAAAGCATTTTCGGGTACCCGCGTGGGAGGACGAGGTCTGGCGGTAAGATTTATTTGGGTGGAAATAGAAGGCTGCCCCCAGGTTCCTGGGGTGTCATCTCCATCTCTCCCTCCGCGAAAGAAGTTCAGCCTCGTCTTCATCAGGCCCAGATACAGGGCCGGCGTTCAGACATGTTGTGCCATTGGTTCAGTCCGGTCCAGTCTTTGTCACCGTTCAGCACTTAGTCTGTATTCCTGGCCGTGCCCAGGCCCACGCGCAGCTGGCCACGTGGCTGCTAGGCCCGCACGGCTGCTTAGAGGGAGTGCGTGTTTGCGAGCGTGTGTTACCAGGAAAGAGACAGACAGACAGACAGAGACAGAGAGGGAGAGAGCTGTGTTTACCTTGGGTTATATTATCTTGGGCTTCAGAAGGACCAGGGTCTTCTTCACACTAACCAACTAACTTCCTAAGCTTTCAAGGGCTGGTGCTGGGTCCTCCCCCTAACCGATCCATTTCCTAGATCTTCTGGGTTCTGTGTCCCCCACCCAATCCGACCCCCGGGCTAGACTGACAGGCCTCTGGGGCTGCCATCTCCGTTTCCACTGCACATGTGCCCCGCAGAGGAACTTCCCTTTGTTGTCCTGTTCCTCCCCCAGCAATCTGCCGGGAACAAACCGTGGGAGTGTGTGACGCTGTAGCTTCCTAGGGAAGCAGGCCCAGTGCCGGATTCAGCTCCCACTGTATCCGGCCGCTGGATGTCTGATTCCCTTTGCTCCTTCCTTCGTTGGTATCTCCCTACCTGCGCGGACACTTTGGAAAGCAAAGGCAGCAAGGTGATGGAAACCTCATCTTTTGGAAACCTCTGACCCATTTTAAGAGTTGCATTCATTTTTGATTTTGTAGATATGTTCCTGTGAATCCATACATGTAGAACCCCTCACCCCCAAGTTAAATGTAAAGCATCTATGTGTTTTAAACATCTTTATCATAAGAAAACTTGTTTGGATAAACAGTTCTTATTAGGCACACATGGGCAAAGGTGGATTACTGTAAAGATAAAATTGCAAACAATTATTTGAAATTTTTTCTGTATGGAACCACCGCTTAGCTCTGGATCACACAGCCATCATGTTTGTTTACATTTAGGAGGTTGTAACACTGTCTTTTGCCTCTAGGATCTTTGTCATTTATATGTTGCTGGGACAACCAAGTAAGAAAGGCTTTTTCTACTCTTTTCGTTAATATAGTAGGAGTTTTATCATATTGTTGTATGAATGATACTAACTTTCTTTTGACATAGGCAAAATAATGAGCCATTTCCCATTGTGTTTGGTGCTGTGAGTTTTATCCTCATAGACATTAATATAATACCCTTTGCTGTTCAGTTAATACATCTGTCTATTTAAATCGATTTGACTTTAACACAAAGCTACAAGGTGATTAAAACAGTTCAGTGCTACACCCTGGACTGATGAGAAGGTCCTGATTGAGGAGCATATGATTGAAGACCTTTGCATTAAACATGTGCTCAGGAGTCTGCAGTGTATTACGCCTCCAGTCACCTCTGCCTGGAAGCAATCCTGATTAAGAAAAGTTGGACAATTAGAGTTCTGCATTATGTATTATTTCATGGCGTACATGTAAGTTATGAAGCAGAGGATTAAAATGAACCCTCATAAAACCACCATCTAATCTAAACTAGAACTTGACCAACACAGCTACCTTCTCTTACAACTTCATAGTCTTATACTCTTACCTTTCCCCAGGCTAACCACAGTACCAATTTTATTTTATTTATTATAAAAGAAGGTAGACGGGTTTGAGACCTCTGTTTTCCTGTTTATTCTTACTTCTGATCATTTTGCTGAAAGTGATTTTCCACGAAGTGGATGGCCTACACTTTGATCAGACTGGTTTTCACTAGCCTTGCGCACAGGAGAGGGTCCGAGCGGTCGGTGCCCTGACTGCTTCCGGAGGGTCATGAAGGGCGCTGCCCGCTCAGATCGGTCCTGGGTGTGAGGTCTGCCGCTGGTAACCCTCCGAGTAACAGGGCCGATAGGAAGTTTAGCTTTGTTTCCCTACCTCTTAGAATAGTGCCCAGGACTACTGAATGCTTCACACGTGTTCACTATATTTAATAATTTAATAGAAAAACATGTGTGACCTTGGACAAGTTACTTCACCTCTCTGTGCCCCCGTTCCCTTTGATGGACACACCCTAAGTACGGTGTAAGAATGTGTTACTACTTAAGGCGTCTGGAGATTTTTTTTCATCATGTTCATATTTGTAGTTGGCTGTCACCCCTTTTGGGGAAATTGGTCTGTCACACTCACACCAGGGGTGGAGGGCGGCCTCTGGGGCCCGGCAGTGCCCTCTTGCAGGGGCTTCTGCGCTTGGACTTTGCTTCCTGTCGCTTGACTCCTCCAGCGTCCTTGGGTCCTTCACAGAGGAGCCTCCGTTTACAGACTTTCTAGCACCGGTTTTGCCTCAGGCATCTGAGTTCACCGGGAGGTTGGTTTTCCCCCTTGAAAATGTAAACAGAAGTGGCAAGAAGATGTTTACCCTTGAACTTCAGCCGTTGTTATGGGGCAAATATGTCAAGGAGAGAATTCACTCAATCCCAAGTATGTAGTAGGGTTGCACTGACTTGCCCAACTGGACAGAGGGATTTCTGTGATTTCCACATGAATGTAACGAAGCTGGGATTTCCACCCCCGTGAGTCAGAGTAGACAGGCCCTTAGCAAGTTCGATGTGCTTAGGAAAGGAGGAGGAAGAGAGAAGCAGCCAGTGTTCTCCAGGGGACCCGGGGCTCGGGGGCTGACAGCTGCTGTGGGCCACCTGGGCAGAGAGGAGCACCTGGCTCTGGGGCTGGGGAGCAGCGGGCCTGGCAGAGGGAGGGTTGTCTGGTCGGCCCTAGCTGAGGCTGTGTGAGTGAGCACCCTCCCCTGGGGTCCCCACGCCCAGCACCCTCCCCCGGGGTCCCCACGCCCAGCACCCTCTCCCGGGGTCCCCACGCCCAGCACCCTCCCCCGGGGTCCCCACGCCCAGCACCCTCTCCCAGGGTCCCCACGCCCAGCACCCTCTCCCAGGGTCCCCACGCCCAGCACCCTCTCCCAGGGTCCCCACGCCCAGCACCCTCTCCCAGGGTACACTGGCCATCAGAGAGAGTCTTCCTGGTGCAGTGAAAATGTCAGCATGAGCCTACAGCTCCCAGCTCCCAGCCCTCCCAGCTCCCAGCCCTCCCAGCTCCCAGCCCTCCCAGCTCCCAGCCCCCTCAGCCCTCCTAGCCCTCCCAGCTCCCAGCCCCTTCAGCCCTCCCAGCTCCCATCTCCCAGCCCTCCCAGCTCCCAGCCCTCCCAGCCCTCCCAGCCCTCTCAGCCCTCCCAGCCCTCCCAGCCCTCCCAGCTCCCAGCCCCCTCAGCCCTCCCAGCCCTCCCAGCCCTCCCAGCCCTCTCAGCCCTCCCAGCCCTCCCAGCCCTCTCAGCCCTCCCAGCCCTCCCAGCCCTCTCAGCCCTCCCAGCTCCCAGCCCCCTCAGCCCTCCCAGCCCTCCCAGCCCTCTCAGCCCTCCCAGCTCCCAGCCCTCCCAGCCCTCGCTTTGGGATTGAAGGGAGCACTTTGCTTCAGTAAATGGGGCTCTTTCTGATGATCCCCAGGCTGCTGTGAAGGAGTGAAGTACTTTAGCAGTGGTGGGAGGTTGGGGTCCTCGGGGCCACAGGCAGAGGGTGGGAAAGGCCAGCGGAAGGGGAGCAGGGCGTGGAGGCACCGGGGGCAGGTGGACTCTCAGCAGATTTCAGGAAGGGTCTGAGTTCCTCTCAGCCTGGGGCCCTCCTGGGGGCCTGCTCCCACTCCCCGGCCCACCACTGCTTGGATCAGATGCTCTTGGAGGCCCTGGAGGGGAAGTGCTTTAAGGAAAGCCCTCTCAGTTGTTCGCACACCTTGGCCTCCGAAGACTGGATTGCGCCCACATGGTGTTCCTGACTCCTCTCCCGGGTTTCCCTGAACTCCGCCTACACGTTAGTAACCTGTGTCCTTCATCAGACTGTCTCGTCAGCCCGTTTTGAGTGCATGAGGTTTCCCCTTGGGACCCTGACCGACATGGGGGCAGGAGTGGCAGAAAGGACATCAAGGAGGAGGCTGTTGCCATCGGCCAGGTGAGAGATGCCGGCAGCTTGGACCAGGGTAGCCACAGTGGGGGTGCAAGGAGAGAGGTTCGAAGGTCGATTGTGGCCTGTTGGGGAATGACAATGGCCACCAGCACAAGTGACTGTCTCCAGGAGAGGCGTTGGGACCTGGGGGCTACTTTTGCTTTCCTGACCCTGAATCCCAGCAGAACCATCTCCTCTTCCTGGGCTAAACCACAGCGTGTCGCTCTGTTCTTGAGATTCTCTTCCCTTGAGCATCCACACAGTTCTTAAAGGACCACACACGTGTATGTCCTTGAAGCTCTGTTATGTCAATGTGTCTCCCTCCCTCCCTTCCTCCCTTCCTCCCTCCCTCCCTCCCTCCCTCCCTCCCTCCCTCCCTCTCTCCCTCCCTCCCTTCCTTCCTTCCTTTCTTCTCACCTGAGGAAATTTTTGCATTTATCTTCAGATAGACCCGGAGAGAGAAAAAGGGGGAGAGAGAGAGAGAAACATCGATGTGAGAGAGTCACATCAACTAGCTGCCACCCACACGACCTCAACCAAGGCCAGGGACTAACTGCAACTGAAGTACATGTCCTTAGCGGGAACCGAACCCGAGACTCTGGTCTGCAGGCCGACGCTCTAACTGCTGAGCCAAACTGTCCGGGGCTCATTGTGTCTTTGTGGCCTTGTCATGGTGCTCTCCTGCCACCTTTCACGCTCACAGTGCAGACACTGGTTTCTGTCATCCAGTATGCGCCCCATAACAACGTTTTGGTCAACGGTGGACCACAGACATGACGGTGGCCCCATAAGATTATAATGGAACTGAAAAATTCCTCTCGCCTAGGGACACGTAGTTGTCCTACTGCCGTAGCAACAGCGCAGTACTTACGTGTTTGTGGTGATGCTGGGGTACAGTGTTTATCAAGTCTACAGTAGTGAACAGCAGTGTCCTGGGCCTTCGCACTCCCTCACTGACTCACCCAGAGCAACTCCAGTCTTGCGAACTCTGTTCATGGTGCCCTATACGGGTGTACCTTTTTTTTAATCTTTTAATCATATTGTTACTGTACCTTGTCTATGTTTAGATACATAGACACTTACCATTGTGTTACAGTTGCCTACAGTACATGCTAGACAGGTTTCTAGCCTGGGAGCAATAGGCTAGACCATGCAGCCCAGGTGTGGAGCAGGCTAGACCATGCAGCCAGGTGTGGAGCAGGCTAGACCATGCAGCCAGGTGTGGAGCAGGCTAGACCATGCAGCCCATGTGTGGAGCAGGCTAGACCATGCAGCCCAGGTGTGGAGCAGGCTAGACCATGCAGCCAGGTGTGGAGCAGGCTAGACCATGCAGCCCAGGTGTGGAGCAGGCTAGACCATGCAACCCAGGTGTGGAGCAGGCTAGACCATGCAGCCCAGGTGTGGAGCAGGCTAGACCATGCAGCCCAGGTGTGGAGCAGGCTAGACCATGCAGCCCAGGTGTGGAGCAGGCTAGACCATGCAGCCAGGTGTGGAGCAGGCTAGACCATGCAGCCCAGGTGTGGAGCAGGCTAGACCATGCAGCCAGGTGTGGAGCAGGCTAGACCATGCAGCCAGGTGTGGAGCAGGCTAGACCATGCAGCCAGGTGTGGAGCAGGCTAGACCATGCACCCCAGGTGTGGAGCAGGCTAGACCATGCAGCCAGGTGTGGAGCAGGCTAGACCATGCAGCCAGGTGTGGAGCAGGCTAGACCATGCAGCCAGGTGTGGAGCAGGCTAGACCATGCAGCCCAGGTGTGGAGCAGGCTAGACCATGCAGCCCAGGTGTGGAGCAGGCTAGACCATGCAGCCAGGTGTGGAGCAGGCTAGACCATGCAGCCAGGTGTGGAGCAGGCTAGACCATGCAGCCAGGTGTGGAGCAGGCTAGACCATGCAGCCAGGTGTGGAGCAGGCTAGACCATGCAGCCAGGTGTGGAGCAGGCTAGACCATGCAGCCAGGTGTGGAGCAGGCTAGACCATGCAGCCAGGTGTGGAGCAGGCTAGACCATGCAGCCCATGTGTGGAGCAGGCTAGACCATGCAGCCCAGGTGTGGAGCAGGCTAGACCATGCAGCCCAGGTGTGGAGCAGGCTAGACCATGCAGCCAGGTGTGGAGCAGGCTAGACCATCTAGGTTGGTGTAAGTGCACTCTGTGATGTTCGCACAGTGGTGAAATTGCCTAATGATGCACTTTCCAGAACATATCCCCATCATTAAGTGATGCATGACCGTAATTTTCATCATAATAATTGAACTAGTTTAATGAATCTGGGTTCATGGCTCATTTATTGCCCCGAGAGGGCAAGGACCTTCTCTCATTCGTTGCCTCAGCACCAGCCCTTGGACCTGTGCCTGGCACATGGTAGGGGCTCAATCAGTCTTAATGGACTAAATGTATAAATGAGTTGGCCATGAAGCATCCTCCAGGGGGTCGACCTGCTACTTCCTGTAATGCTCAAGTCTGTTCCACAGACTATGACAAAGTTTTGTCACACACAGGGTGCTGGCTAGGGCAGGTACCATGAAGAGGTGTCATGGAAACTGTTTTTAGTCATGACTGCTACCTTTGCACTGCACACGTGTCCCCGAATCAGGCATTAGTGTCGGTGTGGGCAGAGAAGACTTGAGTACAGAGAGTGAATCTCCATGGATTGATTAAGTGAGGGCCATTTTTCATAACTTGACCCTCACATTTCCATCGATACTACTTCACAAACACAACACTCACAAGAAAGTGACTTCATGCTCTAATCTTCTTCAAATTCTGGGAGTTGGGCCCTGGCTGGTTTGGCTCAGCGGTCAGAGTGTAGCCCTCGGACCGAAGAGTCGAAGGTTTGGTTCCCAGTCAAGGGCACATACTTCAGTTGTGGGTTCGACCCCTGGCCCTAGTCAGGGTCCTTAGGGAGGCAGCCAATTGATGTGTCTCTCTCACATCAATGTTTCTCTCTGTCTCTCTCTATCTCACTCTATCTGAAAAATCAATGGAAAAATATCCTCAGGTGAGAATTAAAAAAAAAAATTCTGCGAGTTGGGATTTTCTGGCATATTATGCTAAAATATAAACTTGACCTCTGATAGGAGCCAACTGGAAGTGCTTGGTGCGAATGCCTGAGAAGAGCGAGGACAAGCGTGTAGAACATTCTAGCGTCTGTCCCTTAAAGTGATCTAGGTTGAGGTCAAGCCAGTCAACCCGCTTCGCAGCCCCGGGGCTCCCGGCCAAACTGGCCCGAGTTATTGCTCTGGGTGTGAACGGTCCTCTCTGTTCTCAGGTCAGGGTTTGGTGATGTCTAGTGATCCTCAAAGCGCATGGGGCAGGATGAGCCAGTGCGAGGGCCGACCCAGCTCGCTGCCGTCACGTGCTGGCTGCATCTGTGATCCTGTCCCGGGGCGGCTAGTCCCACCCGAGTGTCCCGAGGGACGCCCCAAGCTGCAGGGAGAGACAGTGTGGTTGCACGGGAGCAGAGACGCCCTGCCCCTCAGCCCTCCTCCGTCACTCGGCTTTAGGAAGGCCAGTCTCTCTGCCGACCTCCGAACATGGCAGCGTGAGGTTAGGCCAACGGGACGGCACTTCCAGCACCCGGCGTCTGCCTGGCAGCACCGGCAGCGCCGGTTGTCCGTGAACCCTACCCTTGGCATTGGATGAGATAGACTCTCAAGCTAATGTTTTTCCTAACTGGCAACTTGGTTTTTTTTGTATAACGTCACAGTTTGAAGGTGTCGAAGTGAACGCAGGCTCACAGGGAGTGATGCTGGCCCCGACTGAGGTGCGGTACAAGCCCTGCCACTGCGCGAGATCGCCGGCTCCCTCCGAGGGCCCTCCGCCGGGGGGTTACCGGCGTTCCTGCCGAGGTGACATCCAAGCAGGGGTTCAGGCAGTGGGACTGTGGGAGAGTCCTTTGCATCCCGTCCCCTTTGCGTGTGCGTTCGTGTGTGTGCGCGTATGTGCGTGCGTGTGTCGTGTGTGTGTGTGTGTGCGCGCGCGTGCACACACCCATGCTTGCTCTGCAAGGGCCTCTCTATTTGGGGGGACTGTAAGATACATGACCTACTTTATTTATTTATTGATATTTGTAATCTGACATCTGTTCATGTAATGAAAAGTGCAAAGGCGTCCAAGGACTTTGGGGCTACAAACCCAAGTGAACCAAAGTGGGGCCAGAAACCCTGTCTTGGAAAAGCCTCACTGTGCTATAAGTAGGGATACCGAAGCTGACAGAAGTGGGGGTGAGGGTCCTCACGGGGTTCTAGCCCGTGATGTCACTCAGCCTGGCCGCATGATGACGCGCTGGTACTAGTGCTCTGCGTCCCGCTGCGCTCGCCAGGCCCAGTGTCCCCTCCTGCCTGTGCGGCCAGGGCAGCGGACAGGCCCTGCCTGAGTCACTGCCCAGCAGGCGCGGGCACGGGCGTGAGCGCCTCCCAGCACCGGGTCCTGCGGTTCTGAGCTCGCCCTTCCTGAGGCACAGCCCAGCAGGCGCGGGCATGGGCGTGAGCGCCTCCCAGCACCGGGGTCCTGCGGTTCTGATGCTCGCCCTGCCTGAGTCACTGCCCAGCAGGCGTGGGCACGGGCGTGAGCGCCTCCCAGCACCGGGTCCTGCGGTTCTGAGCTCGCCCTCGCGTGTTCCGTTCTCCCAGTCAGATCTGGAGTTTACGTATTTTCCTTCTCACTTCGGCAAGCGCGGGGAGCGCCTGTGAAGTGCGGAACTGGGGTGCAGAGAAGGGAGGTGCCGGTTGTGCTCTGTGGGAGGAGGAGGACGTGGTGGGAACAACACACCTCCGGAGTAGGGTGACACCGTCAGTCCTCAGGTGGCAGCATGTGTGCGGCTGACGCTCTGGGGACTCATGGGCAGCCAGGGGAATCCCTTCCCAGGGGAGGTCATACTGGAGGGGCCTCTTGAAAGGGAAGTGGGGTGTAACCAGGTAAGAAGGCAGGCAGGACAGAGAGCAGGGCAGAGGCTCAGGGACAGAAGTGTGAAGGGAAGAAGAGAGGAAGTTGGTGTGCTAGGGAGGGTGA